TCAGACCAAACCACTGTTCTCTTTACCCAGGAGGAGGGGCCCACGGCACCCACCTCAGCTGGGCTCTGGCCGCTGTGGCTGAGTCCTGGTTCCCTTTCCCCACAGCCTCTGGGGCAGTTCCTGAGGCCTGGAGCAAGGCGAGACAGGGAGGGGCTCTCTCCTGCCCCTAGGCTCCCCTGGCCAGAACGCTGGTCTCACCCAGGTCTGGGTTCAGAACACCAGAGCACTGATGCGCTAGGCAGCACTGTCCTGTCCTGGCGAGGGGCTCCCCGCTAGCTCACAGCACCTGTGTAGCCACAGCTGTGCCAGTATCTGGCTGGGGCAAGGACACTCGGGACCTGGGGCGAAGGGGTCCGGCTGGAGTAGGACTCAGGACAGCAGGTTTCGTTCCCATCCAGCAAGTGGGTCCCGCCTTTCCCCCACATCCTCACCTCCTCAGCATTTGAGCTCCCCTTCCCAGACTCCCCTCCACAGCTGCCACCCGTCTCCCCACAGGCTGAGGGGCTCTTCCTTGAGCCGCTCCCTGGTTAGTGGTAGACTTTCAGCAAGCCCTTCTCCTCTCTAAAATGATCCAGTGGGACAGATCATGAGGCTTGGCTGGCTCGGAAACTCAATGACTTCGATGTATCGGCCCGCTGGTCCAAGGAGGCTGGTGCCAGAGCCCACGCCCACATCTCTGAGCCCTATTTGTTGTTGAGGCTTCTCCGCTGGGAAGCCTCCTCCCAGTCACCCCAATCCAGCCCCTTCCCCCGGGCCAAGCCCCCAACATGCCTCCCCCCTCTCTGCTGCTGCTAGCTAGCCCCCTCCCACCCAACATTAGGTGCAGGAGCCAGACCAGGGAGGACAACTGCATGGAGTTGGGCCAGGCCAGTGCTGGAGGGCCGAGGAAACCCAAGGGCGGCCGTGTCAGGGGCCAGGCGACCCCTGCTGGAGGGTCGGCTGGCGGGCTGGGGCCCTGCCCCCCCGTGAGTTCCAGGTGGTCCTGGTCAGCCCTGGCTCCTGCCAGCGGTGGAATGTGAGGTCTGGCCTAGGAGATATTTTGGTTGCACTTGGAGCCACCCCGCCCCGTGGAACTCAAGACCTGCACACTCCATGCCATAACAATGACGACCACTTCCAATTGTTTCCTAGCGGGGGGTGGGGGTGGGGGGGCCTGTTTGGGAAAGGGAAGGGGGGGAGGCTGGGGGAAATATTTCTGGTGACAACAGCCCTTTCTAAATCCGGCTAGGGACTGGGTGCAGGTGGGGGTGGGGGCGCCCTGCTGCCCCATATATACAACCCCTGCGACCGGGTCAGGCTCCACAGCCTTCTGCCTGCTCTGTGTCCCTCTGCTTGGTGCTCACAGGTAGGAGCAGGGAGCTGGAGGCCCCCCTTTGTGACTGGGGAGCTCAGGATTGGGACAGGACCCTCTAGGAACAGCAAGCAGTGCCTAACCAAGGCGGGATCGACTCATGTGGGCTACCTGGACATTGAGCACCCGTGAGGGTGCGCAGCCCAGCGCGGCAGTGGAAGAGGTCGTCCTGGACCTGTGTGCTCATGTGTTTGAGGTGGTGTGTGTGTTTGGAATGTGACGGAGGATACGTACCTGTGAACAGTGGGGATCTCTGCCTGAGGCCCTGGGGATGTGTGCTTGCGGTCACGTGGTGAGGATGAGCAGCTCGGAGGTGAGAGATAGTTCAGACAGGAAGCCCGTGTCTGCAGCGCTGGCTCTGAGGCAGTCTGAGATGCGCAAGTGCAGGTGTGCAAAGTGGGTGCATCCGGGAGTGGCGGGGTTTGCAGTGTGTGTGTCCTACCGGCACGCATGCACACACTCACGGGCTGGCCAGTGTGGGTGTCCCGAGCCTTCATCTACTGGAAACCACCGACTCTATTTACCCCTACTTAAATGTGCACACCTGTTTTTGAGGCCCAGACCGCACGCTGATTGGGGTGAGTGTGTGCGGAGGTTTGTCTCTGGGTGAGGTGCATGAGACAGTAGTGGTACGCATGCTCCTGAGAGGATCTGACTGGGCTGCTGGGCTGTGTGATGGGTGTGTCTACGAGCGGGTGCCCACAGGGTCTCCTCTCTGAAAATGTCCCTAGTGTCCGGCGGTAGCGTAGGGACGCCATGGAAAGGAGCTGGCTTTGGGGCCATGAGACTCGGTTCAAGTCCAGGCCCTAACTACCACTTAATGTGAGGTGCTCTGGGGCAGGTGAGCCACTTAACCTTGATGTCCTCATCTGCAGAGTGGTATGATGGTTCAGTAAGGGACCTGTGCATGAAGCACTCTCTCTGTGGACTGGAGGGCTCTGAACACACAGGGTGGCGGTCCCCTGTTCCTCAGTGATGCAAAGAGCACGTTGCATGATGAGCACAGGTCACGGTGGGGTCCCCTCCGGGGAATAAGGAGGGTGAGGGCTCGGAGTGCAGCCGACACCAGGAAACGGTTAGAACGAGTACTCAGGGGACAGTGCTTGGAAGGCAGGAAAGCAGATGGGACCACAAAGGTGACCACCAATTCTAGTCTGTTTCCAGGACTGAGGGCACCAGGTGGGCACGGACGGGCAGAACCGAGGAGAAGCAGTGAGATGGCACAGGCCTGACTGGGCAGTAGCCGCTGATACTGCCTTCCCTCTCCCCAGGTGCCTCCAGGTCTAGGCCACTTTCCTCGTCTGTAGACCTATCTGAGAAGCCAAGGTAAGAAGCCCTTAAGACCCTCGGTCCCTTTGTCTCCTGGGCTGCCCTCCTGGGTCTGGTGGCCCTCGGTCCCTCTGTTTCTGGTTCCAGGAGCCAAGAGTTTCTGTTCCCTGTGTCTCCGCAGCCGGTCTCTAATCCCACTCCTCACACCGTCTGCTCCATTCTCACACACTCAGGAGACTCCGGAGAGCTTGGTGTGATAGGCTTGGAGTCAGGTTACGGAGCTCTAGTTTCTGCCCTTGGGGAGACTGTCTTGACCATTAAGAGCTCCTTACCCGTGACCAGTGAAGACAGGGTCACAGAGAGGGGTACAGTTCGATTCTTGCCTCCACAAGAAACCCAAGGTACTCACCCCTCCCGGAGGAGAAGCAAAATCCGAACAAAAGTTAGCTCTCCTACCCTGACAGGGGGCCTAGGCCATGCTTCTGGTTAAGGGACAAATGCAAAGAACAGGGGACTTGCCGATGGCCCCCGCTGACTGGTGAGAAAGAATCCCGGCAGAGGGGAAGGCGGCCACTTCTTCTGCACACTGCAGGTCCAGCCATGGGGGATGCTGAGATGGCTGCGTTTGGGGCCGCTGCCCCCTTCCTGCGAAAATCAGAGAAGGAGAGGCTCGAAGCCCAGACCAGGCCGTTTGATCTCAAGAAGGACGTCTTCGTGCCTGATGACAAAGAAGAGTTTGTCAAGGCCAAGATCACGTCTCGAGAAGGTGGCAAAGTCACTGCTGAGACGGAGACTGGCAAGGTGGGTGGCAGGGCTGCCGTGAGACCCCCTGGGACAGCCCCACACAGGGGGCGCACAGAGAAGCATACAACCAGAGTCCTCTCCACACAGACCTGAGGACAGATGGTCCTTCCCTTTGTGGGGGCCCTCGAAAGAGCCCTTTCACTCCCAACGTCCAGTTGTCTTTTCTGTGAGATCCTAGTTTCTTCTCTCAGGCACCATTGTCCGGTACCTCTCCCAGCTCCAATCCCAAGCAACCTGTGCAGGGAGGAGGGAAAGGCTAAAGGCAGATAACACCGGAGGACAGGAGGGCCGCTGTGGGCTTGTTGCAGACGGTGACAGTGAAGGAGGACCAGGTGATGCAGCAGAACCCGCCCAAGTTCGACAAGATCGAGGACATGGCCATGCTGACCTTTCTCCACGAGCCGGCTGTGCTCTACAACCTCAAGGAGCGCTACG